TGAAATATACCCAAGAAAGCAAGTAAAGACAGAGATCAGTGCAATACAAAACAAAATAATAGAGAAAATTAATGAAAATGAAATTTATTTAAAGAAGATAACATTAATAAATCTCTAACTAGAATTATCGAGAAGAAAAGATACATATTATCAGTATTAGGATTGAAGATGGGAACATCACTACAGATCCTCTAGACAAAGGATAATGAAGGAATATTACAGACACCTTTACGTCAATAAATAATGACAATTTAGGTAAAATGGAAAAATACTCTGAAAAATGACAGTTACCAAAATTGATTCAAGAAGAACTAGAAAATCAATATACCTAGATCTAGTAAATAAAATGAGTTCGTGGTTGCCTGGGTGGCTCAGTGTGTTAAGCGTCTGCCTTTGGCTCATATCATGATCCCAGGGTCCTGGGATTGAGCCCTGCATCAGGCTCCCTGCTCAGTGGGAAGCCTGCTTCTCCCTTTCCCCCTACTTGGGCTCTCTCTCTCACTATCTCTCTCTCTCAGATAAATAAATAAAATCTTAAATAAATAAATAAAATGAGTTGGTAATTACAGTCCTTCCCACAAATTAAACTGCAGGCTCAAATAGCAAATTTCTCATAACATTTAATGAAGAAGTAATACTAAACTCTTGGAGGTGGACAGAACCCTTCACAACATAATTTATAAGGCTGATATTACAGTGATACTAAAGTCAAACAGATATTCCAAGAAAATAAACTACATACCAGTATCCCTATGAACATAGATGAACATCCCTATGAACATAAAATTTAAGATTTTATTTATTTATTTGCTGGAGAGAGAGCGTGGGAGAGAGCACGAGAGTACAAGCAGGGGGAGTGGCAGGCAGAGGGAGAAGCAGGCTCCCTGCTGAGCAAGGAACCAGATGTGGGACTCGATTCCAGAACCCTGGGATCATGACCTGAGCCGAAGACAGAGGCTTAACCGACTGAGCCACCCAGGCGTCCTGTTTTCTTTTTTTTTCAAAGGGAAACATACTTTTTTAATTGAAGTAGATTTGATATACAGTATTAGTTTCAGGTGTACAGCGTAGTGATTAGACATTTATATACATTACAGAATAATCACCATGGTAAGTCTAGGAGATGGAAATGTTTTTAACAGAAAATTAGCAGATTGAATCCATCCAGGATAATAAGCTATGACCAAGTGGAGTTATCTTAGGAAGGCAAGGTAAGTTTAACATTTGAAAGTCAATATAATTTATCATATTAACAGAAAGGAAAGAAAAACTGTAGAATCATCTTAATAGGTGCAGAAAAATTATATGTCAAAATTTGAAACTCATAAGGAAAATTCAGCAAACTAGCAAAAAAAGGACCTTTGTTACCTGATAAAGATAGGTAGTGTCATTTTTGATAACAGTTAATGAATGCAGGGGATGTACACTCTCACCACTTCTATTCACTGTTGTCTTGGGGAATCTAACTTAAAGTGCAATAAACCAAGAAAAGGAAATAAAAGATTTGAAGGAAGTAAAACTTTCATGACTCCCAAATGACATGATCATATACATGTAGAATCCTAAGAAATTTATAAAATAAATCACCATGTTGTACACCTGAAACTAATATAACTCTGTATGTTAACTATAAAGAAAATAAAGGAATAAAATGTTAAAAAAAGAAATATATAAAATAACCACTAAAAATCCCACAGTTATGGGATTTAAGATGAAAATTAATTATACTTTTTATTAGTAGTCCCAAACAAGTAGACATTGAAACTTAAATAAATATATAGTATTTACAGTACAACCAAAATCATCAAACATTTAGGGGTAAATTTAACAAAGTATGTCTAAGATATTAACACTGAAAAGTGCATTACATTACCAAGAGCTGATGCTAAAATTCATTTGAAAACACAAATGACCTAGAATAGCTAAGAGAATTTTTTAAAAGAAGAATAAAGTTGAAGGATGTATACTGTCAGATTTTATGACTTAATTTAAAGTTGTAGTAATCAAGAAAGTGTTCTATTGGCATAAGGATGCATATTTAAATGTTGAGGCAGAATTGAAAGTCCAGAAATAAACTTACACATATATGATTAATTAATTTTTGACAAAGATACCAAAGTAATCCTTTGGGTTAGTGATTCTTTTTCTTCAGGGAAGTTGAAACTATCCCTTGTAATAGTTTTTCCACCATATCAGTCGGTATTATTATGGAAGAAAATGAACATGATACTATGTGGAAAAATTAATTCAAATGGAAACAAAAGTTTTAGAAGAATACAGGTGAAAAGACTTGATGTAGGCAAAAATGAACCACAAAAGAAAAAAAATATTAATTGGTCATTGTCAGAATTAAAAACTAGCTCTTCAAAATATACCATTAAAAAATTAAAAAGCCACACACAAAAAAAAAAAATTAAAAAGCCACAGAATGGTGGAAATCATTTACTACACATAAATCTCAGAAGGTTTTTATCTAGGATATGTTAAGAACTCCTAAAATTCAATAAGAATACAGCTGATTTGATTTTTTAAATGGGCAAAAAATTGGAATAAAAGGCAATGTAGGGATATGGCCAATAAGCACATGGGAAAAAATGCTTGATCATTAGAAAAATGCCATTTATAACAATGATGAGATCTCATCACACAGTTAAAATCTAAAAGCTTAACAATACTAAGTGTTGACAAGGATGTGAAGCAACAAGAATGTACATATACATTGCTGGTGGAATATAAAATTGTATATGCACTTTGTAAAACAGATTGACAGTTTCTTTTTTTTTTTTTAAGATTTTATTTATTTATTAGAGAGAGAGAGCACGAGAGGGAAGAGGGCAGAGGGAGAAGCAGACCCCCTGCCGAGCAGGGAGCCCGATGTGGGACTCGATCCCGGGACTCCAGGATCATGACCTGAGCCGAAGGCAGTCGCTTAACCAACTGAGCCACCCAGGCACCCCAGATTGACAGTTTCTTTAAAAGTTAGATACTTTCATTTGACAGAACAATTTTACTTGTACACAAATGTTTATGGTAGCATTTTTCATTATAACCGAAAGCTAGAAACAATCCAGAATGCCATTCACGGGTATGTGGATCAACAAAATTGTTTTATCCACACAGGAATACTAAGCAACAATAGGGAATGCACTAGTGATACACACAAAAGTATGCATGAATCTAAAAAGTATTGAAATGAAGCCACACACAAAAAGGTACATTTGCTATGATTCCATTTATGAGAAACTCTACAAAATACAAATCTAATGTGTAGTGAAAGAGAGAAAATCGATGTTTGCCTGTGAACAGGAGGATTTTCTGGGAAGGAGTGCTAATGAATATTTTCGAGGAGGTAAATATGTTCTATATATTGATGATGATAGCAATCACTCAAATGTCTCTTTTGTAAAAGTCGACAAAATTTACCCTTTAAATGAATGCATTTAATTTTATGTAAATAATACCTCAGTGAAGTTGGGGAAGGACATCCTCCTTTGTTAGCAGAAAAAATCCTTTGTAATTTAGATGTACATCCTCTGAGGATTGAGAGTTTAACTAGATATAAACTTAGCAGCTTGCTTTTAACTCTGAAATTATCTCCTTATCTAATTCATATTTTAAAAGGAAGGTGGAAAATATGCACTAGTCTTAGATCAAGCATATAAAAATACCTAATGAGTGTCAGTGGACAAGGTTAAATAATTTAAGATTGTAGTAGATAGGTCAGGTTCTATGCAGCATGTAATATTTTGAGGAAATACGTGCTGAGGATGTATGTGCTGCTTTCACAAATATTTGATTCTCATAATCGGCTGTCAAGTAGATAGGTCAGGCATCATCATTCTCTTTTACACATGGAGCACACCGGCTCAGAAGATTATGATATAATTTGATGAAGATCACTTAGCTGACAATTACGAGAGGATCTAGAGCTCAATTCTCTCTCCACTGTGAAACACTACTTGCCTTTAAAATGTACTCTTGTTGTCTGGTCTGTATGTCTCTTTCCACCCCTCCCTTAAAAACAAAACAAAACAAAACATAACTTTATTGACATGTGTCCTTGATAAAATTCAGATTTTTTTCAGGCTGAAGTTTTCAGTATGGGTTCAGGGTATTGCCATATTAATCAGAAACATTCTTGGACATTTATGCAGTGATCAAAAAGTAATTCTAGTGTTCAGGGAATAATCAAACAAACTTTGAACATACAAAATAATACGAACAGTTACCAACAAATTATGTAATTTAACTAGTTTTCTGAGTCTGTTTACCATACTAATTTATTTCATTATGATAATTTTCAGACTAAATAAACTTGAAGATACTATTATACTAATTAAAGGAAAGATTGAAGAAGTTTGCCTTCCTGTAGAAAAAGTAGATGTTATTATATCTGAGTGGATGGTAAGTGTTTGCAAAAAAAAACTACTTGTGTTGGTTTTAAAAAAAGAAAGCAGTGAATAGTAGTTTTCTGCATTTAATTATGTTTGATAAATGGCAGAATAATGGTATTATTTTAAAAACAGCTACAATCTTTTTATGGTAGTTTATTCTGATATGGCACTTATTTACTGGCCATTTGTAATCGTTTTAAAAAGAGAATAAAGTACCTTTTTTACTTTTAAAATCATAATAAAGAATTACTGTTTTCCTATTTTCTAAATTTGTGGAGACCTAAATATGTTTGCTGAAAAGCCTGTGAGGACTAGTAAGGACTTACTAGGACTGTTTCATCAAAATTAACATGATGTTGCCACTATTGCTCTAATACTGAATGTCCTATCTTTCTTACGTCAGGCCATGTAGTCAGTGTTCTTTATCACATAAAAGAGAATTTATTAGCATGATTAAAATAATAAAATTAAGATACGTTTATAGCTTTAGAATTTGCTTTTGAAATCGTAAGTCAGGGCACAGAATGTTTATTTTTAAATGTATATGAAGTAAAACTAATGGCATTTGACAACTGATTTGACTTGTTGATATGCCAATTTGATGAAGACAAGTTAGTGTTTCCAGATGAAGATTTCTTAAGTATTTGGAGAGTTTTAAAGCCTTTTTTAAAAAACCTGTATTTGATACATATATTTTCAGTAAATGAATTTATCAAAAAATTTTGGGAAAAATGCATTTTGCTTTATAATTATCTATAAATTTTGAATAATCATAGCAATAATTCTAGCAAAATAGCAGGGATTTTAGGGAGCTTTTGAAATGTTCAGATTTAATGTGTAAGTAAATTTCAATCTAGAGCCAGTGACAGTCACTGTTGTTAGCAGTTACTCTTTTGTACATGAAAGAATATGTTGATTTTTTTATGGTAGGGTTAGCTTCTAATAATTTTTAATCACAGTGTCATTATTTTTCTTATACCAGAGAATTTGTATTAGCACTCTGATTTCTTTTATGAATTGGGTGAAAAGATACGGATTTAGTTACATATAATTAAAAATCCAGCATCTTTTTAAGGATGACAAAAAGGTGCTTTGAAGAAGTACATTTGAGGCATTTACTCATCAGTAAGTTAAAATAGTGTATACTAAATGTTGGCTGACATGCTCATTTCTCCAGCACCATTTTACTTTTCTTGGAAAATGCATCTATTAAATTACTCCAAATTAGGATATAAGCAAACTGAGACAGACTTTACTAAACTTTCTGTCATTTCAGTTGAACATTTTTCCATATCTGGTTATAAATAGTTGGATAGTTCTTGACCTGCCTAGCAGAATTATATTTCTAGATATTGATATTTTAGGAATTTTCATTTCAAAATCTGAAAGATGATCTAGAAGTACTAATATTCAGTTAAAATCTTAGAGCCAGTTGGTATAATAACAAAAAATTAGCTGGATTGAGTGAATTTATGAGATCGTCACATTTACAATATGAACTTTATTGAAAAGCTGTGCTGTTCTTGGGCTTATTTGTCCTCAGGTGCATTTTATTTTACACTCTTCTCCTGCCTGCTTCTGTACTGAAGGAGGGCTAACTCTGCAGGCTGCTTTTTCTAGGCTCCAAGGACAACCATCTTCCGTGGGGTTTGGGAAACCCAACGGGAAACACTAATAGGAGATTTAAAGAAAGGGAAGAGTCAGGGCATTTCTTTGCTTCTGTTTGCCTCTAGTTGTATTGCTGGCAGAAGCCATTTCTTTTGTGACTCCAGTTCCCACTGGATAAGTCTGTCATAATTCCAGTGTCCACTGTGTGACTCTGCCCTGGACTCTTGTAGCACTGCTTCTTCCTTTTGTCTCTCTAGCCTAGGAATGGTAGTTCCTTCCTGGTGTCTGCTGATGTCCAGTTGTCTCAGTCCCTTCTTGATCACTTACCATATCTTTTACCCTCTCTGTAACCAACTTCCTGTATTCATTTTTCTCTGTTTTCATGACCTATGGTTTCTGTTCTCCTAGACTGTAATTGATATAAAGGGTACCTTTCATTTTGGAGGACTGGTCGGGTGTGATCTCTGCCTTTATTAGGAAGGCATTATAATACAAATAATTCTGAGTCACCGGAACCTGGAATGAAAGCCAGTTGTTTGGAACCAAGGTGCTTTCAGAAGCCCTTCACTAAGAGAAATAAATCAGTGTATTCAGGAAGTATTTCCTTATTCCTCTTCACAAGGGTGTAACTTAAGAGTTTGCATTATCTTACTGTCTCCCTTTCCTTATAGACATCAGTGGAATTGAAGTCTAGCAGATCATGTTAAATGTGTTAGGTGGAGCATTAGACACTATAATTTATGGCCGTTATTCTAAGGCAGTCAACTTTGGATAGCCTTATTTCTCTAATAAAATTTGCATTAAGCTTTTTAAGTAGGCTTATGCTGGAATGTTTTGAGTCAACTTTGTGGATTGGCAATATTTATAGTACTTTCTAAATCCTGTAAATCCTCTTCTAAATTGGGTACTTCTAGGATTTCTGAGCTGAGTAGTTGGAAAATTCCAAATACCTAATTAACAGGAGGAACAGGTATGCTTTCTAAAATATATCCAACATTTTCCAGATATTCCTGCTTTGGCTGAAATGATGGGCCAGTGGTAGATGACTGAATATTTTAAATCTATTTTAAACCCACATTTTCATGAACCAGCATTTTAAAACTAAGATATATTGCACAGAATCCTCTCTTTGCCTTTTTTTTTTTTTTAACATATGGTGGTAATGGTACAAAAATCTAGAAAAACACCATTTTAAGCCATAACATACATTTTTTTCTCTTTTTCTAAAAGTATTTTCAACAAGAAAGGTCAAAAAAAGAATATACTCGGCATAAAAATTGGACTCAGATGTTTAATGGACTTGTAATGCAGTGTAGCAATGTAGGTATTGTATGTTACAGAGATGTACATTTTGTTTTCTTCTCCTATAGTCCACTAACTATTCCATGTTAATCTAGATTTATTTTTTTGTCTACAACTATTCATGAACTTTGCTTTATTTTGGAAGATGTTCTTAGTTAAGCCTGCTTCTCCCTCTCCCACTGCCCCTGCTTGTGTTCCCTCTCGCTGTGTCTCTCTCTGTCAAATGAATAAATAAAATCTTAAAAAAAAAAAAGAACGTAATTTTAAAAGCCAAATCATTGCTGTTAGCATATTGTTTAATAAGCCATCACTTGCCTCTTAGAGTTATGAATTTTCAGACTTAGGCTTTCTTTTAATTTTATATTTTCATTTTTTATTGAATGGAATTTCCATTTGGTAAAATTATTATCAGTTATATAAATAACTGGTATTAAATAAATAACTGAAATTAGCCAATATTAAATAAATAACTGAATGAATAAATATGAGTTAAATCAGTTTAATCTCTATAAGATGTTAGTATTTATGCCTAAGAGTATTTCCTTTCATTTTCCATATTTTACTCTACCAATAGAGCCATTCTTTATGACATCTTATTTCTGATTGTCTAATAAAACTGTCCAAAGTAAGTGTCCCTAATTCTGTGCTACAAACCAGTTAAGCCAGATTGACTCATTTGGTGTTAGTGTTTTCCATCTATGTTTTCAGTGTGACCTCCTTATAAATACATAGATAAGATCCTGGCATCATATGATACGATTGCCAGTGATGATTCTTGTTTGCACCTTTGTTTTTTTCCATCATCAGGATTATCAGCAGAATTATACATTAGGTGAACTTTATATTTCATTGTCATGATCATTCCTGACCTACATTAAAATTGTCTGAAGTCCCTTTTAGCAATTTTTCTATCTTGGCTTGCTTCTCACAGAAGCTACCTAAAATTTCTCCTTAAAATATTCTTGGATGTGTCCTTGAAATTTAAGAATTAACTTTCCTACCTCATCTTCACCAGCACAAGTGTATCTGTGTAATACACATGAATGCACATACCCACACCGACAGTGGTATCTTTTGTTCATATTTAATACTCTTTATTAATGAGTAACATTTCAAGATATCATTTAAAAAACAACATGGCTTGTGATTTGGCTCATCAACAGTCCACAAACTGACCATGAAGCCTGTCATAGGTCACATTTTTTTTTTTTTTAAAGATTTATTTATTTGACAGAGAGAGACACAGAGAGAGGGGAACACAAGCAGGGGGAGTGGGAGAGGGAGAAGCAGGCTTCCCGCGGAGCGGAGAGCCCAATGTGGGGCTCCATCCCAGGACCCCTGGATCATGACCTGAGCCGAAGGCAGACGCTTAACGACTGAGCCACCCAGGCGCCCCCATAAGTCACATTTTAAACTGGTGGACGTTGAAATGTTTTTGTCGTTTTTAGTCTGACAGTGAAGCCATGTCATTTCAGCCAACTGCCATGAGCATAGGTGACCTTTCCTGGTCTGTTTTTAACAACACAAATTAGAGTGTATTGTAATTAATTGTTCATGTACTTTTTTCCATTCTCCTGAGACTGGGAGCTAGGATTTACTTGGTATGACCAGATTCTATCACAGGGCTTAGCATGATGAGGGAATGTACACCATAAGAGAACTTTACAACTTAGAAATTCACTGGCCATAGATATAATCTTATTTATAATTTGCTATACAGCACATGAAGTCAGGAAGGTAACATATGACAGGGTTGAGAATGGTGCTCTGGAGTCAGACTACCTTACCCTTCGCCCTGTTTTCTGCTTAGGTTTGTTGCCTTGGGCATGTTACTGAACTTGTCTGTGCCTCAGTTTCTTTCTTTATAAAATGAAGATAATAGTAATACCTACTTCATAGCGTTTTTGTGAAGATTAAGTAAGTTAATAGATATAAATTTCTTGAAGCATTTTCTGCACATAATAAAATCTCAGTAGTTAGCTCTTTGGTTTTGAAAATTGTATAGTCTATTAAGCACTTGCTAACTAATGAATGAGCTGCCTGACTAGGTTATTCAGTAAGTAAAATTTGAAAATGGTAATATACATGAAGTAAAGACTA